CTGAGGCTCTACAGTAGCTCAGTGTGGCACTTGGTATTAAACCTAGGGCCTTTGGACTGAGCTACATCCCCAGCCCTTTTTTTATTTTTTATTTTCAGATAAGGTCTCGGGGCCTGGGAGATGGCTCAGTAGAACAAGCGCTTGCCTGGTAAGCCCAAGAGCCTGAGTTCAATCCCTGGTTCCGGGGGGGGGAAAAAAAAGACAGATAAGGTCTCACTCAGTCACTAACTGGTCCAGATTGGGCTCAAATTTTCAAGTCTCCTATGTCAGCCTCCCAGAATGCTGGGGTTACAGGTGTGGGAAAAAAAAAAAGAAAGAAAGAAAAGAAAGGGAAAAATCTTATAATATTATAAACCTTTAACCAGAAAGTGATCAAAATTTGCCACTTTTGAAGAAAGGCTGGGGGCTGGTGAGATAGCTCAGTGGTCTGAGCACCATCTGACAAGCACAAGGACTCAAGTTCGATCCCAGGTACCGTATGCCATGCTGGCCCTGAAACCAGGCATGATGGTGCACACCTGTAATCCCAGCACTGGGAGGCTGAGACTCTGTAACAAATTAAAAAAAAAAAAAAAAAAAAAAAGGCCGTTTATGATACTAAGGATACAGCCAACTCCATATGAGACTATATGGTACTAAATGACCATTTTGGGCTGGGGAGATGGCTCAGTGGAATAAGAACTTGCCTGGCAAGCACAGGGGCCTGAGTTCAATCCCTGGTTCTGCCAAAAAAATAAAAATAAAAATAAATAAATACAATGACTATTTGATGATCTAGAGTTCTGTTTAAACAATAAAAATGGTAGTCTAAAACTCAAATGAAGGGCTGGGATGTAGCTTACTGGTGAACATTTGCCTAAAATGCATGAGGTTCTGAGTTCAATTATCAGTACCAAGTGGGTGTTGTGGTACACACCTATAATTCCAACACTTAGGAGGCTCAGGCAGGAAGACCCCTGCAAGTTCGAGACCAGGCTAGGATACATAGTAAGTTCAAGATCAGACTGAACTACCTAGCAAGAAACTGCCTCAAAAAGGAAAAAAAAATCAAATTTGTATATAGTTTTGCACCAATTAGATATCTCTGCATTTTTGCACAAAAATTTTTGAAAATCAATGATTCACCAGATGATGGCGTGTACAGCTACACTGGTAAATATGAGAGTCACCAGCCACGTACTGTGATATTTATTTACTTATATGTACTTAGTATGGGGTCTGCAGGGTCCCACTATGTAGATTGGACTTGTAGTGATCCACCTGTTTTCAGCCTCCCAAGCACTGTGATTACAGGCACATGCCATCATGCCCAGTCTCAATTGCTGGTGCTCTGGGGGCAGGCTGACACAGCACGCTGGGGATGGAACTGTGATTTGTATTTAAATACATTAAAATAACATGAAATGAGAGTCAGATAATGGGGCTCAGGGTATAGCTCATTGGTAGAGCACTTATCCAGCTAGTATGTGTGAGGGCTTAAGTTTGATCCCCAACACCTCAAAAGAGAGAGAAAAATTCAGAGAACTAAGAGCTCCATTTCAAGCACTCAGCAGGCTGGTGGAGAAGGAACTGTCACATGTGGAGCTGACAGTCAAACATGGCCAACTGTTTTGGGTCTCTGCCTCCAGGGAGCCTGGGGAAGGCCTATCTTCCTATTCTTTCAGCTTCTTGGTAGCTTTGCTGTGAATCAGGTCACAGAAGACAGTAGTCTCCCCTGCTCAGTTATTGTGTACAAATAACTGCAAGAAGGAAGAAAATCATTCTTTTAAAAACTCATTGCAGGGGATTCAGCAATGAATGTAATTTGTGTCTGCTACCTGGATCCTGATGGCACAGCCTGCACCACACCTGGGCCTCCCTCCAGGCAAAGGGACCTTCTGGGGTGTTCTCTTCCTGTCTCCTCTAACTATTGACTATGAAATCAGCTCCAGAAACTCAGAGGCCCAGAGATCTAGAGGCAGGAAATCAAAGGAGGCCAAGATCAAAGGGCCAAGGCCTGAGGAGCCACAGGGGAAGCAGAGCTGTCAGCTCCCCTAGGTTGCCCATTCCTGGCAGCCTTTAATAAACATGGGCTCCCCACAGCTCAGTGGCAGTGAGAGGGTCATCAGCAAGGAACAACAAAGAGCTGGGAAGAGAGCACTTAGCACTTGGGAAGGTTGGCAGCTCTGTGATGTTTAGGCACTGTGGTTGGAAATGTTGGGGTGCAGAAGAGGACTGTGACCCCAAATGGTCCCGATTTCACAGCCTGGCCTGGTACAAGGTCACCTTCATCCAGAGGGGGTGCCTCTTCCCCACATCCTGGCTTCCCTGGACACAGTAGCAGCTCAGTGTTTCCCAGTCCACCTTGACTGGCTGGCACATGACTCAGCAAATGTTGCTATTGGACCAGAAAGGACAAAAGACCAAAAGCACTGAGCCAAACCAGTGTTGACAGACCCAGGGTGGGGAGAATCCACACCCTGATCTCAGTCCTGTGTCTTTAACCTCAAATTTAGGTTTGCTATTCTGAATTAAATCCAGGAACACCCTTCTGGAGCCTTACCTTTTACAGATATCTATTTTGGGTAAATAATCTTCAGTAACAATTCTCCAAAGATATTGCTGAACAGCAGGTTCCTTCCATTTCCCAGCTGTGGAAATGGGTATAAAAGTCACCAAATGGGCAGGGCATGCTGGTGCCTGCCTGAGGCAGGAGGATCACTGCAAGTTCGAGGTCTGGGCTACATAGTAAGACTGTCCCAGAAAACAAGAAAGAGAATCACCAAATACTCATTTATATTTGTAGCCAGGCAACTAAGGAATCTAGAATTTAGATTTAATGAAAACTATAACTGCTTATCAAACAACAGAGGGTAAAATTCTCTTATTTTTAAATCAATGTGTACAGCAGAGCTTTAGTAATCCTAGGTGGGCTCCAGCTCACCAGCCTTGGGTAATGAAAGTCATGGAGTGAACCAGAATATCCAATCCCATAGTAAAGGTCAGACATGATCCAGAATACCCTATTGTATACTGTCATCAAAAATTTAGGGTTTCAGACAGGCATAGTAGCACACACCTGCAAACACCACTGAGGCTGAGGTGGGAGGACTGCAAGTTGAAGCTCAATTTGGGCAATTTTGTTACTTAATGACACTCTGTTCCCCCCCTCAACAACAACAATATATATATAAAATGTCTGGGGATATAGTTTAATGCAAAAGCTCTATATTCAGTGCTAGAACCACAATTAAAACAAAACAAACCTTAGATTTAACCACCTCCCCCCACAGCCCAGAGGCCCATGTCTGTTATCCCAGGGCTCAGGAGGCTGAGGCAGGATCATGGCCCGTGAATTCAAGGCCAGTTTGGGCTACACAGTGAGTTCAAAAGCTAGGCTGAGCTACATAGCAAGACTCCTCAAAAAAAATTTTTTTTTAAATATGATAAAAAATACTCAGTAATTACACATGCATGGTTTTAAAATATAACAATAAAGCAGTACTGAATTTTTTCTTTTCCAACATCTCCCTCGCAGTTCCAAGCCTGATTTTCACTAAAAGAATCCTCACCAAAATTATTTTAGGCATCTGCAGACACATTCCGGTAAGAAATTTACAGCAAAAGGAAGAACTGAGGCCGAGTTTGATCCCCGACACAGAGAGATGGCAGGCCAAAACCTTGTTTGATACAGATTCTAAGACAACACAGATGCTGGGGAGAGGTGAGAGGACAGTCCAGGGTAGCAGGGATCCTAGCCAGGGCAGGAGGCTCTCCCTTGCCGCAGAGGAACCTTGGCAGACGAAGCCCAAGCTGGTTTCAGCCTCCTACTTGGTGGCAGGGAGTTCAGTGGGGCCACGGGAGTCACAGCTGCGGCCCAGTGTGGCTTTGGCCTTTGTCCTGATTTGGTTTATTTCCTGGTCTGTAAAATCTGGCCAGGAATACCTACTTCCTAAGAAGGCATATAAAACACATTCTAGCAGAATCCTGAATTTTTTTTTTTTTTTTTTTTTTTTTTTGCGGAACCCGGGATTGAACTCAGGCCCTTGTGCTTTCCAAGAAAGCGATTATTCCACTGAGCCATCTCCCCGGCCCCTGAATTTTGTTTTGAGGTAACAAACCATAGAGTGAATTGGTGTTGCTGGTACAACCCTATGATTTCCCAGAACTCTGGGAGGCTGAGTCTGGAGGATCACAAGTTCAAACCCAGCCTGCACAATTTAAGAATTTAGGGAGAACTGACTCAGTAAAACAAAATTAAGAGACAAAGTGAAAGCTGGGCTTGCATGTAGCTCAGTGGTAGAGAGCGCATTTAGAATTTCTGGGGTTAGAACCCCAGTACAGTAAGGATGGGGAGGATTAAACCAGCAGGGAAAGCAGGTGTGACCCCTGTCTCAGACATTCTGGGCCCCAGATCCCCCAACGACCTCCCAGAGACTTTAAGGAGGACCGAAGGGAATAAGCCAGGTGTGCGGGTCGCCTGGGTGGCCTGGAAGTCCTGGAAGCCAGGGCCTCAGCCAGGGTCGGCGGCGCTCCTCTGCCTGCCTCCTGCGGTCCCGGGAGATCATGGATCTCGGCAGAGCGCGGCTCTGGGCCGGTGCTGACACCTGGATCCATATGCACTCGAGGTGAGGGATTAGGATCCCGCGTCCACACTCGCCACCTCTGCGACACAGCGGCCTCGCCGGGTCGCGGCGAAAGGACAAGGGGCGGAGGACTCGGCCTTGTCCCTGGTCTCCCGTCTGCGGGTCGGGTGCGGCTGCGGGCGGCGACTGACCCTGGCGGGGGTCCGGCACACAGCAGGGCGGTCGCTACACCCTGCGCGACGCTGGGGTCCGCCCGCTCCGAGGGCCCCCGCGCGGGATGTGGATTGGGGACGCGGCCGGAGTTCGCGCCTCCCTGCCCCCGCGGAAGCGGCCGGGCCAGCGTCTGGCGGGGCGGCGGAGGCGAGGTTCGGTCTCCCCTCTGAGCGCCGTCGCCCAGGCCTATAAGAGCGGCGCGTCCAGGCGCGGGTCCAAGCCATGGCTGCGCCCGTGTCCCCGCCACTGGGGCTTTTGGATGGCGCCTCGCACCCTGCGCCAGTGCCCCGTGCGCCCCCGGAGCCCCCCAGGGACGCAGCCCCACCGGCGTCGCAGCGCCGCAAGCGAACGTCGTTCAGCGCCGAGCAGTTGCGCCTGCTGGAGCTAGTCTTCCGCCAGACCGCGTACCCCGACATCCGGCTGCGCGAGCGCCTGGCGGTGCGCACGAGGCTGCCCGAGGCGCGCATCCAGGTGAGTCGGCTGGCTGGGTCCTGCGAGCCGCAGCGGGGCGGGCCCAGAAGGTCGGGGCTCCGTCGGTGAGGCGGCCCTTACGAAGGACCGGCGGGGGGCCCTCGGGGGCCCCAAGGAGCGAACCCCCAGGGAAGAGCGTGGTGGAGGGCTTTAACTCTTCATCTTTTCCTACCGAGGAAGAAAACTTCGGGTCGCGCGGGCTGGCGTGCTGGCCCTCTCCGAGCCCCGTACTCTGACTTTGGCTATTTAGTCACTTAGCGAGATCCTGCCTGTAATTTTAAAAAAGGGCTGGGGACGTAGCTCAGCGCAAAAGTCTTGCATTCAATCCGCAGCACAGACGAGTGGAGGAGACACTGTGGCGGGAAGTGCAGCTGGAGCCTCAGCCCGGGTTCAGGGTTGGGGAAGGCAGCTGGGTGGGGATGGCATAGCGTTACTCGTGGGCTCTTCCCTTCGAAGGTGTTTTTCTTGGGGGATTAGAGTTCAGAAAGTTACAGCGACGCCTTAAGTATCTGGAACTTTTGTCGTAGTTTGAAAAACTGAGTGTAAAGTGCTTGCATTGTTTGAAATCATTTATTTCAGAACTCTGGGTTGATGGCAAGGAGCGTGGACTCCCATGGATGTGGGGGCGCCCTGAGCAGGGTACCTTCAGTTCCTGGGGGGAAGTAGTCCAGAAACTGTGCACTGCAGTGAAGTTGCCTGAGCACAAATTCTGCCTGTGGATTTGACAAGGGAGCACAGGCACTTTCAAAACCCTGTTCTAGATAGCTGTGTGTGTGGTATTGGGATTGAACTCAGGACCTTCATACTGAACTACATTCCCAGCTTATCTGATTGCTTATTTTTTATTTTGAGACAGACTCTCACTAAGTCACTATGTATTCCAGACTTGGTTCCAACGTGTGATCCTCTTGCCTGAGCCTCCCAAATGCTGAGATTACATGCATGCACTGTGACACCAACTCCTATCATTTCGCCCCAAGGACTTCTATTTCTGTGACTAGTTTCTTTTTTTCATAGAGGTGCCCCTATGTGAAGTATAGGCAGAATCGGGTATTCTTTCAGTTTTGCACTGGGACTGAGACCCAGAAAGCCAGGTTCTCTGACTTCTAACCACTTCTTTGAGGGCTTTCTCAAAACCAAAACGTTCTCAATAGGGAGCCAGGGAATGTTCAGCTGGAACTAATTCTCTTCCTCCTCCTGCTCATTATTATTGTTATTAGTATTATTTACTATTTTGATTTTTGAGACAGGGTCTCATTATGTACCCCAGGCTGGCCTTGAACTCAGAGTGGTCCTCCTACCCCAGCCTCCTCTGTGCTGGGATCACAGGCATGCACTAGTTTTGAATTATGAATAAGAACACCTAAGGTAAAGCTGTCTTTTTCTCCTCTTCCAGGTGTGGTTCCAGAACAGGCGTGCCAAGTCCCGGCGACAGAGTGGGAAATCCTTTGAGTCTGCAGTCAGGAGAGAGCTTTTCCTCCACCCCTCAGCTCCTGGGGCTGAGGCAAAGTGTTTGAAGCCACCGCTGCCACCACCACCACCACCACCACCACCACTACCACCACTACCACCACCACCACCACCACAGCCACCCCCGCAGGCACACCTGAACTGTCTGCCTCACCCTAGTTGGGCTACAGGGGGCAGCTCTGACTGTTGCTCCCAAGCCCAGAATGTTGAATCCTATTCTGCCCTCACTGAAGATGTGGGCTCAAAGCTGGACTCATGGGAGGAGCATATCTTTTCCACCTTTGGTAACTTTTGAGAATTCTGAGAGGATTGGGGAAAAGCTCAGGAACAGCTGGGAGACACTAGAGCACTGGCCCATCTAGCTTGCCTGTCAACAGGCCCCTGTAGAGCTTGGTGACAGTGGACAGCCCTTTCTTATCACAGAAGCTTCCTCTTCTTACACCAGTGACTCTTCATGGCCACCTCCTCCTACCCTGGACTCTGGCAGTCCCTTGGGCCTCTGTTGTCTCCAGCTTTGAACACTAAATGTGGTCTGTTTCCCATGCTCACTTACTAAAAAACCTACTATGATTTTTGGACTGGTTGTTCAGAGCTTGTGATTTTCTTTACAAGGACCCTTCAGCTTGACTCAGGGTCTCTTTGTGCCTGACAGTGGCACCTTTTCACAATACCACTAAGGATGATACCTTAAACTCCCTCTAACCCATGTCCTCTACCCTATCTTTGTCACCGAGAGTTCTTTCATTTGTATTTAAGTATTTTTAATGTTTACTAGTGGATGTTTGCAGTACATAGCGATTGCATTCATCATGGAGTCTGTGCAAGGACATGAAGTTCTTTTTATTTCACCTCCTCTCCATCCCCTTCTTGTTTTTTCAAAATGAGTTATTTTTAAATAGACAAGTAAAAATTGTATATATTTACAGTATACAACATGATGTGTTGATTGGAAAATGGATAAATTGAGCAACTTAATGTCTGTATGACTTCATAGACATTGTGAATCTAAAGTCTACTATCTTAACCCTTTTCAAGTGTGTAATAGATTAACTATAGTTGTGATGTGCAACAAATCTCTTGAATATTTTCTCCTAACTGGAATTCTATATGCTTGGGCCAGTGTCTCCCCAGTCCCTTGCACTTTTTCATTTGGCCTGTCACCTTTGCACTCAGTTGTGACACACTCCAGATTATCTGAAGAGCCCCCTACCCCAGATATCACTTTAACTGATTTACTCTTTTTTTTTTTTTTTTAAATAAGACATGGTTTGTTTATTCATGTAAATCTAAAAGGCTGGCTCAGTTTTTTAGCACACGAGAAAATGCCTACAGGCCATGGGAATGATGAATAAGTGGTACAGTAATAACACCATGACAACTGACAGCATTGTATGACCAGGAGACTTGTGTTCTAATTCAATCCTCATTTTGGATTCTTCAGGAACTCTGATGAAGAACAACATGGTGAAAAACTGGGGCATTCTTCTTTAGTAATTTTTATTTTTTAAAAAAAATGCCTGGAGCTGTGTCCTCCTTTTCCTTGGCGGAGACCAGCCGCTGACTTCCTTCCTGCCCCAGCTTTCCAGGAGGTTATTAGGTGAGGTTTTGCCCTGATGGTTTTGCCCCGGCATTTCTGGGGCTTCTCTTCCTTGTGCACCTTCACATGCTGCCTCAGATGAGAGCTTTGGCTGAAGCACTTGCCACACTCATTGCACTCGTAGGGTTTCTCCCCAGTGTGGGAGCTCTGATGCTGAATAAGGTGGGAGCTCTGGCTGAAACACCGGCCACACTCATCACACTGGTAGGGCTTTTCCAGTATGGATTCTCTGGTGCTGAATGAGATTTGAACTCTGTTTACATTTCTCTCCCCACTCATCACATTTATAAGTCTTTTCCCCAGTATGGATGTGATGATGCTGAATGAGATTAGAGCTCTGGAAGAAACTTTCCACAATCAGCACATTTATGGGATTTCTTTCCAGTATGGATCTTCTGGTGTTGAAAAAGAGTGAAACTCTGACTGGAACTCTTTTCACATTCGGCACATTTGTAGGGTTTCCTCATCTAAGATTCTTCTCAGCCTGCTCAAACCGGAGTCAAAGCGATGGTTACTCCCCATTTATATCATTGTCGGACTGTCTTACGCTTGCTCTTGTTCTCATAGGCCTTTCCTTGGCTTGAGTCCTGAGAAATTCTCCCTTTATGCTTTGCTAGCCTTATAATGAAAAGCTGAATGTATGTGTCAGACAGTCTACTGTTTTCTAAACTAAAGTCTCATTTCCTAGAGCTAGCAAGGTCAGTATTTTCTCTCTCCCACCACCACCCGAGCCAGACCTTTAACTGATTTACTCTTCAGAAATCTGTAGCAGCCTAGATGGAGTTGCTGTCAGATCATCAGAACATCCAGATAGCAGATGTCATCTTTAACCCACAGGACAAGTGTTTTGAATCTCAGCGTTCCCCGTGTGCAGGGTATCCTTGTCGCAAAGCTATTTCTTCCTTTGGTATCAAACTAACACCTTTGTCTTTCAGATCACTTGAGACCCCCTCTGCAGCCTGAGCTTTGTGTCTGTTACTTTGGCCAGTCAACATCCCTTAGCACTTCATCCCCAGTACACAGACAGAAATAGTGGTATCATCAAATACAGTTTTTGGCCAGCAATAAGTGTGTCATCAGGTTGCAGCTTTTGAGAACTTTACCTTCATTAGAAGCATATCTTTGCTTGTCTAAAATTTAGTAACATTTCTAAGTGTTTTCATTTTGGTAGGTTGCTTTTTCCCAATTTAAAATTCTTAGTCGTTATAAATGATTTGCTAAATTGGGTGTGGTGGCACATGCCTATAATCCCAGCACTCTGTGGTTACTTATATAGTGACTCAAGGAGACCATCTAAAACTAAGGAATTAAAGAAGAGCTAGGGATGTATGCAACTCAGTGCAGATGTCCCAGATTCAGCCCCAACACCACCAAAATAAATTTAATTAGCCTAAGCTCAATTACAATATCAAGATCAATTATATTGATCTATTCAGATTTGGGGACAGGAAAACTTGGGTCTTCAGAGGTGAAGATTCTTTCTGAACTTTGCCCATCCCCATACCCAGTACTGGGTGAAGGGCAGTGCCCTCACTGGATGGGCAAGCCTCTGCCCAGAGCTGAGGGTGAAAAGCTTGCAGACTCCTGGGAAGCCAGGGTTAGGGCCTGAACTACCCTTTTCTTGGTGAGGCTGAACCAGGCACTGAGTTTTGATATTGCACAAATCCTAATTTTCATAGAGTTTGTACTTTTCAGAGGAGCAAAGCCACCATTAAAAGCAACCAAGAAACATGCATTCTCCAGGCTTTTGTAGTAAATTGCATCTCCAAACTCCAAAAACAGACTAAAGCCAAAGTACAGTGATAAACATGAACTAGCATAGTGCTTGCCATTCTCAAGCACCGTGCTCGGGGCTTGCCAGATAGCTGTTGTTTAACACAACTTTTTTTTTTTTTTTTTTTTTTTTTTTTTTTTTTGTGGTGCTGGGGATTGAACCCAGGCCCTTGCCCTTGCCAGGGAAGTGTTTATTCCACTGAGCCATCTCCCCGGCCCCTTTTAAACAACTGAGCTAATAGGCAGGCCCCCTCAGTTGTTTAAAGTGCCACAGAGGGAAAAAAAAAAGTGCCACGGAGCAAATGCAGTCAGACACACAGGACTTAGGTTCGATTCCTAAGCACTGTGCTCAGGGCCCAGCACAGAGTGGCCATGAGGTCTCAGAGTCAATGTCACACTGGCATTTGTGGTGTGGTCACATGAAATGACACGGGCATTCACTAGGTTGAAAATTACCTCACCTTCAAGCCTACTGTCCTCTAAGAATCATATTGAAAAGTACATGGTATGGCTAGTTTATTGATTATATCACTGAATATATATTATATTCTATTTTCTCAAATAAACAAATAAAAAACTACAAATATTTAAATCCTGTTGTCACATTGTTGGTAGTGTACTGAAGGTAGAACCTGAGGCCTTCCTAGGTGTAGCCGGGCCTCCACTCTGAGCTGCCACCCCAACCTCTTTACATTTTTAAAATATTTATTTATTTTACTTATTTATTATTATTATTATTATTTATTTTTTTTTTTTTTTTTGCGGAACTGGGGATTGAACTCAGGCCCTTGCACTTGCCAGGGAAACACTTATTCCACTGAGCCATCTCCCTGGCCCTCCCTTTCCATTTTTGAAGAATGATTTTGCTAAACTGCTGAGCTTAAACTTCTAGTCCTTCTGCCTCAGCCTTCCAAGTAGCTGGGGTTACAGACACAAGCTACTGTGTCCAGCTCTGTTGTCACATTTTTAATTTTTAAAAGTTGTGTCTCCTTTAAGAAAAGAACTAGGGTGGAAACCTTTCCAGTTCCCAGAGTCTAAACTGCTAAATGAGTGCGAGGCATTGCAGATCTGATCCTTGCACCTCTCTGTCAGAGACTACTCTCATTTTTAATACAAAATTTTATTTTTTTGCTTTTAAAATCCATGACAAAAGTTTCATTTATACACATAGTTATTAAAAGTGTTTATCCCAGGGGGCCAGGGAGATGGCTCAGTAGAATAAGTTGCTTGCCTGGCAAATGCAAGGGCCTGAGTTCAATCTCCGGTTCCACCAAAAAAAAAAAAAAAAAAAAAAAAAAAATTGTTTAGCCCATCTATTTTAATATACTGTGCAGTAAAAAAAGATTAATAGAGTTAAATACAGCAGATCAGTAAAGTACATTATGTTTGCAAACCTTTTTTTTTTTTTTTGGCCAGGCAAGCACTTATTCTACTGGGCTATCTCCCCAGCCCTACAAAACTTTTTTAAAGTGACCTGTAAAGAAACTTGTTCCGGGGGCCTGCCCCTTAGCTCAGTTCTTTAAGTGGCTGCTTCAACAAAGCAGTCAAGCTCAGGTTGATGTGGTTCGATCCCCACAACTCAAGCCAGCCAAACCTGCCCTAAAGGCATTTGGAGCAAAAAAAAAAAAAATAAAACTTGTTCCAAGTCATAATGTGCTGAGAAAAGATTACATTAACACTTCTATATGCTTCAGTGCAAATGTTTTCTTTAAGCTGTTCTGGGAACTTTTTTTTTTTTTTTGGCGGAACCGGGGATTGAACTCAGGCCCTTGCGCTTGCCAGGGAAGCACTTATTCCACTGAGCCATATCCCTGGCCTTTTTGAGACTGGATCTCACTACATAGTCCAGGCTGGCCTTGAACTCACTACATAGCACAGGGTAGTCTCAGACTTGTGGCATCTTCTTGTTTTAGTCCACTAGATGCGGTGATTTTAGCCATTCACCATCAACCCAGCTTCTAGTAATACCCTTTATTTTGGGAATAATAATAATTATTTTAAGGGGCCGGAGAGATGGCTCAATGGAATAAGCGCTTCCCTGGCAAGCGCAAGGACCTGAGTTCAATCCCCGGTTCCACAAAAAAAAAAAA